TTATGCATGGAGAGGTGTTCTCTCTCTCTCTCTCTCGTGTGTATCCACAAAAGCAATAAAGATGAGAAAGTAATATGTTCCTCAGCTTTTCTTCTTCCAGAATGAAAAAAAAGAATGCAATTTGTACATTCTTGTACTGTACCTCACCAACCACAATCACTTACGTGTGCGATGCCACGAACCGCCCTCGCATTCTTCTTTATCTTCTATGCGTAAAATCGACATTCTTTTCCCAGCACCTGCCTCTTAATGGGTCTCTCTCTCTCTCTCTCTCACACACACACACGCACATAAACATCAAACTTTTCGTTATTCCCTTTGCGCTTTCACATCTATGCATGCTTTAGTAAAAATTTGGCATCTATGAGCCGACTGCAGCATATGTTTAGTAAAAGCTACAGACGTAGGATAATAAACTTAGGGTTGTTAAATGATGCAAAATGAAATGAATTTAATTAATTTACGACTCGATCCATGTTTTGTCTCAAATAACTTTGTGCCATATACATTTCTCTCTTCCTCTTTTCTCTACTAGACTTTGGAACAAACTTAGAAAATAACCCCAGGGTTCAATTTCACGATTCTATAAATTGTGAGGGATTATTGTTAATAAATTGATTACTTAATATTAGTTATTAAGTTCTAAGATTTGTGTTTGGAAAATATTTGTTGATAAATCAAACTCAAATTAAGCTTGAAAATTCACAAGCTTTTGTCTGTGTTAAACTTGAACTTGAGCAATAATTTAAACCCGACAATCAAACTCGGTTAGAGCTCGTGCTTGGCTAAGCACAACCAATACAATCCTCAACGCACTCAAGCTGAAAAAGATTAATTAAGACGCTACAAACGGGCCCTTGGCACCACATCACTGCCATTATGTGCTGGTTTTCCCTGCCTCTTGTCACTGGCTTTTGGAGGCCATCACAAAAGAGACTGATATCAATATTCATACATACTTTTAGTTTTGATAAACATTAGCATGGCCAAGATTCGATTTGCTGACGAAAAGCCTGTAAAAGTGAAGCAGCTTTGGAGTGAACATGATTTGTCATAAATATTACACGATTAATATTCAGTTTTTGATATTATAAAGTATCTTTCGATACGGGTTATTATTGTATCTTCATCCATTCTTCACCATGTTGTCAATTTCACACCCAAGAGATAGCTCAAGTGTCCAAAGCTATGGTTTTATTTTGATCCATGACTTATTGATCCCTGGTACAAACACAAACATACATACATACATATATATATATATCAGAATCAATGTACTTGCGATTACTGTCTGAAGTAAGAAATAGACAGTTCAATGAGGTTAAAAGTGGAGTTTAGTGGTTATTTGAGAAGAAAAAAAATGACAATATTGATATTTCATGAGCAGAGACGATTTGGTAGAGTTAACTGTTAAAGAATGAGTTATAGATAGTTGTTTAGGGATAAAGAAAGGGTTTTATGCACACTTTTAGGAGTAAATATCAAACCTCGTCATCTCCCTTATTAATAGTGTAGATGGATATATATACACTGATACACACACACTATCTGTTATATATATACATTAACTCTATCATTTACTAGGTGTTCAAACCTTAGGCGTGGTTCAGTAGTTAAATTTGATCTTTGATAACCTAGAAGTCTTAGGTTCAATCCTTTTGCCCACCCTGAGTTAGGCTCCCTTGTTCTTCGGGAACATGCTCTGTCCTAGTTCATACCACGATGGCCGCTGCTGAATTAGAGGAAATAGTCGACACAAATTTGAATACTGTGTAGCAAAATATAAATATATATTAGGTGTTGGAGTTGATAAGAACTGTGATGAAAGCAGAGAAGATAATGGTGGGGGACCTGATCAAGGCATATATGTTTTCTTTCCTTGTATGGCCTTTTTTGTATGAGGTGTCGAGCTCAGAAGAATTTGGCCTATTTGACATTGAGAAGGAAGACATCTTTTTGCACGAAAAGATTATCTTGAATATTTGGTCAATCTTTGTCTAACTTTTCTCTCATTTTTTATCCACCCTCATTTGCTGATTCTTAGAAGTAAATTTCAAGTTTAATGGTTCAACAATCATAATCAGATTGATAGTTATTCTTGTCCTAAGTATTGGTTGATGCATGGATGATAAAAGGCATAATTTTTTGATATTGTGATTGAAACCTGAAGCTCACTGTTGCAGAGAGCGTGAATAGATGAAATCTGGAATAACATAAAAACTCTAAAACGTTGATTAGCACAGATAATACCCGGTCATAATTATTTAGTGACTTTGTTGATTCTTAAAAATACCAAAATTGTCAAAATGCAAGAGAAGACATCTTTGCGTTTACTTAAAATCATCAAAGCTGCTAAATGGATTTTACAAAAAAAAACCTAGCAATCCGAAATAATGAAATTACCCTAACAAGGGTATAAAATAGAAAAGTACATAAAAAATTTAGTAAGTGAAAAAATGACTAGGAGAAACTCATATTTTGTAGAACTCGTCAAAAATTTTTGGATGGAGTCTTGAGTGTTTCATAGTTAAAATATGTCTTTGTATCAATGCCACGATCAGCGTTGTGCATTGTTTCCAATGATTTTATTTGTAATGTAATCGTTCACTATACATGTTGTATCACCCACAATCAATACGGATCACCCTTTTCACTAAGGTTGTACAATGACAATTGTCTTCTGCAAAATTTCATTTTCTCTAGAACCAAACAGAATATAAGTACATCATGATCTTGAATAGTATTCCCATGTGCTATCAATTTAAACAAAATTTGATCCACATTCTCTTCTTTTGCCTTTCAGCTCCCTTTCATGAATTGGATGCGAATCTGGTTTTGGGAAAAAAAAAGGTCCCAATTGGATAAATCCAACTTATTTCCTTACTCAGCAGATGCCCCCTGGAAAGATACATCAGAAAGTTCTTAGATAACAATATGGACCACAACTAAATATAACTAACATAATAGCCTTAAACCCGACCCGTTCTAGATATGTTTAGCACGAGTTAGGGTGATTAGCCGGTGCTTCTAGTTAAGTTTCGAAAAGTTAAAAGTTTTGAGATCGAATTTCTTCTTAGACTGTCCTAAGAATTCATTTGAGTAATTGTTTGGTACAAAGGGACGAAAACATTGTACACTGATGGGACATTTTCAGACACTTTCAGATGATGACACGTATACTCGGCGTCAATAAAGACTCTCGCTGTGATATTGACACGTCTTCGTCGATTTCCAACCCCCTGCCCCGATGATGCTGTTCACAGGGATCAAGGATCCCTAAACCACCTTGGACTGACACGTATTCCTCGGCAGTTTGGGTATATCGGTTCTAATTCATGCTAGTCCCTCGACACCGAGGTGTATCTATTTGTATGGACATTTCTGCTCCTGCAGGGGCTATTGATAGACAGATCACTAGCCTAGACTAGGCTAGACTAGTCATCATGACCTCGTCTTACTCAAATGATGTCAGGAGGCACAAGAAAGTAGAAAGTTCAACTAAAGGGGGATGGACACGTGGCATATTGTGTCGGATCAGAGACAAAAAAACCTGAATGCCCTTGTTGACACACGGCTTGGGAGGTCAGGTATTTAATGCATCATTCACTCGATGAGACAGCATTTAATGCGTAAGATCCTGGAAGTGAAAGACAATAAATGTTTCTAATACCAGGGCATTTAATGCACCCCGCCGAGAGAAGATCATTAAACGATCGGCAGACCGAGGAGAGAGCATTAGTTGCTCGGGGTCCCGAGCAATTAAGAATAAGAACATTACTCATACAAATTGGTATGCACACTGCCCATCTCCAATGATTACCTACTAGCTACGCTGTCAGCAATGATAATTTTTAAGGTATAAATAGTCCTCACAAACACAGAAAAGAGGTACGCAACAAACCCTCTCTCAACCATCATACAGTGTTTTCTTCTTCCCATCTCTCAAAGAATTGACTTGATCGTCGGAGGGGATAACGTCGAAAAACACTTCGACACCCTTCTAACCTATTTTTCTTTGTTTTAGGAACCTCATTTAGCCTTTCAAGATCATTCAGGTGACTCATAAAAACGATTCATTATCCACCTTGGGCCACCCTCGACCCTCACAACCTGTTCCAAGTAGTAAGATCGACCACCTGATTGACGGACACGTGTTCACCACGGAAGAGATCTGTTCTCTGTGTTTATATTGTGCAAGATCCTTCACGCACATACACGTCCGAGAGAATCAAATATTTGGATATCTAAAAATCCCGAATATGTTGAAATAGAAAATAAAAAATGTGAGTGGATTACAGTTGATTTAGCTACTTTAATTCAAGGATCATCTCTTCTGTTGCACACCTTGTCTAATGTTCAAAATAAGTGTGTCACCCTATTTAAGCAAGGGAAATTTTTTTTTGAAACAACTCTTTTTTTTTTAGTTCAATAATCAGGGTGTCCGAATGAGTTTATGAGTATCTCGACTAATCCCCTCTTCAGTCCGATCAAAAATAAGTCGTTTACGCCGAAATTAAGATATTCATGAAGGATAAATCTCTTACTACATCTAAATTTACAGATTATTTTTATTGTCACTTGAACTATTCTGAACCAACCAAATGAAAAGTAGGGCAATGAGTCTGGTCATGGACACATGACCACCCAAAAGGTAATTATGAGATTGACAGAAAAAGCACAATTACGAAGGCTTAGATTAAAAGGAAAACAAATGGTTATTGTTATCATTCAGTGTGAAGGCCTCCCTCATAGGCACCTCTCTATTGCTATATGTAGAGATTCGTTTTCCTGCACCTTTTATTACATAGTGCAATAACATTGGTCACTATCACCAAAATGATCAAAGGGTAAGTTTGGAACCAAACAAAACTATCTTACAGCACACACATATTCTCTATATTCCTTCAATTTCAATGTTTTTTCCTACTCAAAAACTGCACAATACCCCTCCCCCCCCCCCCCCCCCCCAGCCCCACCCAAGAGCCTGTATAAATGTCTCCATGGGTTACGGTATTCCTCACAACAAATCAAAGCATCCCAACAGTCCCAGAGCTAGCTCGCATTTCTCTACTACTCCCACTTCTATATACCTCTTTCCCAACTACTTCCATTCTATACCTCTGCAGTTTTTTCGAGGAGAGATACTAGAAAAGATCACATTTCTTGGCAAAATGGAGAGGGTATCGAGAATGGTGTCGGAACGACCGGTGGTGATCTTCAGCAAGAGCTCTTGCTGCATGTGCCACACCATCAAGTCCCTATTCTCTGACTTTGGTGTTAATCCAACTGTGCACGAGCTCGATGAAGTCCGAGGCAGTCGGGACATCGAGCAGGCTCTTGTCCGGTTCGGTTGTAACCCAACCGTGCCTGCAGTCTTCATCGGTGGTAAGCTGGTGGGTGGAGCTAATGAGGTGATGAGTCTTCACCTCAAACGGTCACTAAAACCAATGCTTAAACAGGCGGGAGCTTTGTGGGTTTGACGATATGAGCTTGATAATCCGACGCTAATAATAACGCATTTTCGATGCATAATGTGATACTAAATGTCGGATTAGTTAGCATACATATTTACAGCAGTTTGATATAATAGTGCTATGTAATGAGTTATAACCTTTATGTAATGTAATCTCCCTATGTTTTGCTAATAAAGTTCAGCTTATAATATTTGGAATATTGTTAGTTTCTCAAGTATCATTGTTATAGTAAAATGTTAAATACATTACTTATCGAGAAAAAATATTAATTACGCTCGTCTCTCTAAACTATAAAGCCTACATGCGTCTTTTCTCTTTCACACCCCATTAGAATCTGCGGTCTTATGCATGTATGAAACTGTAGAATCATATATCATTCTCTTGACATTCCTATCGAGTGCTAGCAATATGCTCGGAATTCTTTCATTATGTTT